ATTTAAAACTTATTACAAATTATATTATATTATAAATTATAACGATGCTTAATGATATTTCTTGTTTGCATTTTAAATTTATATTGACGCTATTTTTTTTATAAAATAATCTTTTGTTTCTGTTAAATATAAGATAGTGTATAAAAATATGTGATAAATTTGTTAAAAAAATGTCTTGATGACACTAATTCGATCCTATTTTTTTTATTTTATTTATTTTATTTCACTTATTTTTATTATATTTATTTTACTTTAAATTTTTTTTTATCAAAATTATTTCAGCATTAACATAATATTTTATAAACTTTATTTCTTAATATTTATTCAATACATGACAATTCTAAACAAAAGCATCACGTGAATGTTTATAAAAAATTTTAAAATAAATTTATTATAGTTAACTGTAATTGTAAATATATTAAAAATCAATTCTGAACATATTAAAAAATAACTAAAAGTAATTGTAAATAACTTTTATAGGAAACAACAAAAAATTATTGTAAAAAATTAATTAAAAAGTTATTTCATACAATAAAATATAATTATAATAAAATATTGAAAAAATATTATTATGATTCGATGTATAAATACATGTGTGTATAGATAAAAAAATATAAAAGAAGGAAAAGAAATTTTCATGTGAAAAATTTTAGAATGATAAATTTGTTGACGAAAATATCTTGACGTATGAATTCGATGCTTTCTTTTTCATATTTTTTATTAAAATCATTTTAATATTAATATATTTTATTCTATTATATTTTATTGTTTAATATTTTTTGCTTAATATTTATTAGATAATAAAGAATTTATTTTCTTTATTTGTTTTATTAGTAACTTTTTTGTTATAATAAATAAAATATAAAAAGGGAAAAATAGTAATAAAATCGTAACGAAAGATTTTGCAAAGTTGAAAATGTTGCTTAAAATTACCTCAAGAATCTTCAGTTTACGGACATTCCAACATTTTTGGATTGTATATGTGATAAATGTAAATATTGTAAATATATCACATATACAATAATTGATATGATTGATATATGATAATGTATGTAAATATATATGATGTATATAATATTTTTTTCTTTCGAATTGTATTTTAAATCGATTTTTCGTAATTCTTTTGATCGATATTAAAAAACCGAACAGTTTCGGTATGTAAAATACAATTTTTAATATAATTATCTTGCTTTTAATGTTAATTATATTTTTTTAATCACTTAATATTCTTATTCCTTTTTGCTAGAATATTATGGCATACTTATTAACTAGCATAATATTTATCTTTAATATTTGTATCATATGATAAATAATTCTATGTTAAAAAATTCTTTGTTGTTGATTATACATTAATTCATGACACTCAAAAAAAAAATATATATATATATATTAAATATATATATTATATATATTAAAAATCATTCGTATATAAATACTATACTTAAAAATATAATTTGTTTTTTTCATTTTTGTGCTTTTTCTCTAGGATTTGTTAAAATTAAAATTAAAATATTTGTTAATTAAAATAAAAATATATTTGAAAAAAATGATAGTGAAAAAGAAAGCTTCAAGCATTCGAATAAGCTCAATAGTATGATTCTTTTTCACGAAATATATGTATATATAATATATATACATTATATATTATAACATATATAATAT